AGCAGTCAGACTGGAAAGCGGCTTGCATTGGGTCATTGAATAATTAGAACAGATCTGATCTCAGCTGTGTGTTCCTTCTTGGTAGCACACCTTAGAGATATTAATAGGAAAAACATCACAAAAAGCAAGGATGCTATAATAATATGCATTTCCTATTACAGATTTAATCTGGATTTACTTTTCTGTCAGCTGAAAATGTTTTAGAACATGACACAAATTTAATATTAGACAAAGATTCAAAAAAATTATATATATATATTTGTCAAATTATGATTCCATTTATTAAAGGAAAACCTTAATCTAAGTCAACCATCAAGCCATCACTTTCCACTTAATCCAGAATAGGGTCTAGAGCAGCACCCTAATGCCTCGTTTACATGGCAAGATTTCATGACAACTTTTTTGCCTTAAAATTTGTTTACTCTGAATTTATATTTGGTCTCTTGTGGATTTTGGCCATGGATTTGATGCTGGTGCATCAAATCACTTTGTGTTTTGATGTGTTGCTCCTTGAGACTGCAACAAAATCTGTTACAACTATGATTTTTTAAATCATGGTGTGTGATCTCTGAGGATTTAAATCTTGCCATGTGAAGCAGACATAAGACTTCCCTCCAACCTGGAACAGCTCATTCGGGGGAATCCCTTGGCATTCCCAGCCTAAAACAATCCCCTTCAGAGTGACTGGAATAGCTCAGACACTCTATGAAGAGGACCAGTTCCTAAAGGCAACCTTGGCAGAATCCAACTCTCACCAGAAACAAGCCTGATTTAAATATCCCTGAAAGCAGAAATGAAGTTTTCCCTTTAACACATGACATGACATTTTGATCCAATGTTAAAATCTGTTTGTTGATCTGAAACATTAAAAGGGTAAATACTTCACAGCGATGTGAAAAAGCTATTGTCTTAAAGAAAATAGCTGCTGCTTGCTTATTCTGAGGTAAATTTACTCCAGTTAAATCTTCGCTGCGTCTGAGCTGACTGTTATATGGAATCTCCTGTGGGGCTGAGGCCTGAGTGAACTAGAAGACAAATCCAGGGATTGTGTCAGAAAACGAGCTTCTGTGTGCTGTTGGATTCTCCTCACATTAGTCTGTTTGCTCTGCTGCACTGACGAGTTTATAAAGGATTAAAGAGAAAGCAGCCGACTCAGCTCCTTGTGATTCAGCTATATTAGGGAAATCAGTCTCCTGCTTTCACTTCATCACTATTTAAATTACCAAAGGAATCTGTTGAGGGCAGCTCCTCAGTTCTATCTCTAATGAAGGCTCCTGTCTGAATCTGGCGTGACAGATTCAGACATGGTGACCAGAACCGGAGCTCATCACAAACCCATTTCTGGTGATGATTGGCTCCTGGGACAATGCGATGAGCTAATTTGCTTTCTTGCTAGGATGTATCAGTCTGAATTAATTAAGGTAACTGAAGTATTCTGAAAAAGCAGCTCCTTGACTCATTCACGCTCTCTCTGAGCCAGTTCTTGTGTTGGATCTCATTGAGCTTCCCTCAGTCAAATGTCACAAGATTCTCACATCAGCAGCCAGGGCTGTTTAACAATTGAGATCTTCTTTTGATGACTTAACTCATCTCAAAAATTCTGAATAAATGACTGAGAAGAAAAGCCAAGTTTAACAGATATTTGGTTTCTGTTTTGTTGCAAAAGCAACAGATATAATACAATACAGAATCTATTAAAATGATGTTGGACAATTGTCCTGATTCCATTTCCTAGGACTATCCAAATCCGTTCATTAAGGATGTGGTTAAATGTTCCACTGAAGTGTCTAACATTAGAGGATATTTTTGATTGATTATTACGTTTCCCATTTTTAAACCCTGATTTGTGATGAACGTTTGAGCAGTGGAAGGTTTGGCCAATAAAAAACTTGTACAAAGATTGAAGTTTGAAGAAAACTTACATATCAGCAATTTAACTATTTGTTAAACAAACATCCTTGATAGCATTGTGTAGTGTACACTCCTTCAAGGTTTCTTCCACTTTTCACCTCAGTTCTCCTCTTATTCTGAAAAATATCATTTTGAAGTTCTATAATCATCATGGTTTGTCAGCTGGTAGGATTTTAAGAAGCAGCAACCTGCCTAATCCACCTGCCTGCAAATCTTCCTCCTTCTGTAGTCATCACTCCCCCACTGGCTTCCTCTCAAATTTGTCGTTTATCCTGATCTATTTTCAATAAACAGAGTGACTTCAGCCTCCCCACCCTTGCTACTTGAAGTTGCTGCCTTTATATAAGCTCGCTTGCTCGCTCGCCCTGTGAGGGTGGCAACAGAGAGATACATCAATGAATCTCTAGCAGCTGGAACCGTTCCTTTCTCTTCTCTCCTGGGAAAGAATTCTTCTTTGTTTCTAAGACAGACGGCAATCTGCAGCCATCTGCTATTATGCTAAGCCTGAACAGCATCACTGTCAAACTCATCAACTGAGCTTTTAAGTTTTATAGTGGAGAGAACTTCTACCAAACTCAATCTCATAATAATGATCCAGTCTGAGGAGAGAAGAATTCAAGCAGAAGTTCATCTATAGCGCTCTAAAAAAGATTAAAGATTAAATCTGTTTTGTTGAGTTTTTTTTGTTGTTGTTGACATTTGAAGGTCTCAGCCCATCAAGTAAGTTTTGATGTTTTTGAAATACAAAAGCTGTTTTTGAGAGCTGGTTTTTATAACATTGAAAGTAAAAGTCTTTACAAAAAACTTTTACTTTTAAAACAGACAAAAACTGAAAAAAAAAACTACTGAGATTTCAATTGGCCTAGTCAAAGACCAGATTTAAGTCCAACTGAGATGATGTGGCATAACCTCAGAAAAATTTGTTTGCTCACATTCCACTTCAGCTGAACACAAATACCAACAAAACAGAGTAAGCCAAATTTCCTTTTACTTGTATTAATCTTTTAACTATCATAAAGATATTGAAGTCCTTATGGACCCATTGTCTAACGTGTAAATGTTTTGAAGGTGGCAGTTTAGGGGCTTTAAAGATCTGATAGGAAAAGCAAAAAACTAATGCAATGTGTAAGAGGCTTTGTGGGAGACAGAACAAAGACTCAAAAAGTAAAGAAGCAAACACACACCAATCAAGGTGACATTTGATTGGTGTGTGTTTGGGCTTATTGGCCAAGTTTGAGCTGCTCTACAGAAACAACAGACTTCCTTTGACTTTGTGATAAATGATAAAAACTTGATTGACTTTTTCACTTTAAGATGCAAAATGCTAAAGCCAATCTAAAAAGTTTCATTTGCTGCTCCCTTGCTGCAGACACATATAGTGTCTGCAGACAGCAAGGACTTTTATTTGCATATCAGATATTTTTGAGAATACAGTGACTGGATTAGCAGTGAAGTTTAATTTAAGGAAAAAGTAAGCAATAAATAAATAATGCTTGGTTCAGTAGATGCTTCTGCTAAAACAAATCTCAATCTGGTTTCAAGACGCTGCAGTCGACAAAAGCCCACAAGTTATTCTGTTTATTCTTTTAGATCTTCAAATATAAAGACTTAATATGTTCATTTCCAGCGAACTCTGGGACTTCCTGAAACACTTTTTATTTTATTTTATTAACATTCTCATCTGTCCAATGGGTCACATTCGGAACATGAGCTTACGCTGATTTTGTAGTAAACAGACCAGAGAAATTCCTTTATGTTACGGCTAAAACATGTCTGGGTCACTTAATGGAAAATCTTTGATAGAGTTATTGCTGAGAGGAGTAAAAAACCTTATAGAGAACTTTAGCTTCAGCTTCTAAACGCTCACTAAAACCATTTCTAGTGTTAATCGCTGAGCAGGACTTGGCCAGACTCTATTGAAACAGATACTTCTGTTTTGTCTCAATAGTTGTTAAATCTGAAACAAATTTTTGGAGTGGAAGCCTCTAACTGAGTTTCCATTATAAATGTGTGCAAAAATTTTATGTCAAGGTAAAGACTATTTCACAATTGCAGTGTTTCCATAAAATAAGAAACGCAATTAAAATTATACGTTGAGTTTGTTTGTGTGATGTCATTAAAACATGCTGCATCATGATCCTCCTACTACTTCAAGTCTTCTTCATGGTTTGCTCCAGTGGCAACACATGTGATGCAAAAAAAAAGTGTTTCCATAGTAGTTTTGCAAGATAAACCAATTTCAATAATGCTGAAAAACCACCTCATCCGAGTACTAAAAAGTTTTTTCTAATCAAAAACATTTTTTTTTAATTTGCATATTTTTATTAAGCAAATTTATTTTTACAATGTCATATTGCGCAATTATGTGGTCAATGGAAATAACCTATTTTCTCTTATTTTAATCCCTCTCTTCTTTCCTTTCTGTACAAATATCTGATTTCAGATCAACTGCAGGATCAAGAAGAACTTTTTAATGATTCTTCACCAACTTTTACCCGTCTGGGTCAATAGTTGAACTGTCACAACTCAGCCAGTGGCCAATTACCCACACAACTGCCCTTGGTACTTTGATATAATAGAGTTCATATTACATCAGAACTTGAATGCATGACTTTGTGGGGATTTTTGCTAGAGAATAATTCATCATGGGGAAAAATGACAGAATATCCAAACTGTCCTCAGTTGATCCAAATATACATGAAAACACTCAAATCTGAGCAGCGCCACTGTCGCTGCTGAGTAAATGCTTTGCTTTAGTTTTATCTCTACAAGCTTTAATTTCAATTCATGGTCTCCTCACTTTACACTTGTTCCTTCCTTCCCTGCCCACATTCACTTTGTCTTACTGCTGTAGCAGCTTTTCCACTTTGTGGATCCATGTCTCGCCTGTTTGCTTTAACTTGCAGAATAAATAGATGCATATCCCCCGCCATATGCAAGAACTCATTAAATTTCACACATTTATGCTTCTATTTATCCAGTCTTCTTGTCACTCACCTTTATAGTGTTTCCTCTGTTCCTCCTTTGACGTGGCTTATATCTCCCCCTCCCCTTTCCCTCCCCTCCCATCCCACCCTTTATCTTCTTCTTTCATCTCATCTCGTACCTATATTTTTATACTGGCACAGCAGCAGGTTTTTGAAAGTCTTTTTGAATGTGGCATTGCACAGTGCGTAACAAGCTGGGTTGATGGTGGAGTTGACATAACACAGCCAGTAGCCAATCGCCCACACAGTGTCAGGGACACAGGACTGACAGAAGGTGGATATCAGCACCATGACATTATACGGTGTCCATGTAATGATGAAAGCCAGGAGGATGGCAAAGATGGTCTTGGTTACCTGCAGAAAATAAGAAAAAAAGAGAGAGCAGAAGATTGGACTAAGCAAAACAGAGTAAAGGTACAAGCAGTTCTAAATGAATGATACCTGCTATTTTCCTTAAAAAGACACAGAGGGGATATTTTGTCTGTTTGCTTTTATCTAAACAGACCTGATGCAGTTAAAATCTGATTACTGTCTTTTGAAAATCCACATAATGCAACAGATTTATTAGCTAATGATGAAGAGGTGAGACAAAACATTTGAGTTACATGTTGGATCACCTGTGGATGTGTTTGAATGCAACACCACAAACACACCACTGACACTGTGTGTCAACATAAAAATGCAAAGAAGTGGAGTTGAAGGCTGAAGAAAACTGAAGCAAAAGTTTCTTGGCTCCAAATTTCTACAAGGTTCACTTGTTCAAACACTTTTGTACAAAAATGCCCAGTTATCACACAGATCATAAAGGAGACATGTTCTCTGTCCCAGATGTGAAAAGGTTTTGGTCTGAAACGTGACTCAATGCCAAAATAACAGCTATTAACCTCATGAACAAGCTGCTGCACATACTTGGGTTGAAAGGTCGCTCAGGGAGGAAGAAGCCATCCCCAAAAGACCCGGATTAGTTTGGAAATGGGGAAAAACTTTGAGTTTTGTAGATCTATCCTGTGGTCTAATGGCTTAAGGCAACAAAGTCAATGTTTTGGAGTGTCCAACACAAGGCTGTGACCTCAGCCTCAGAGAACATCAGTGGGTGGAGCTGAAAAGGTGTGTCTGTCAAGGATTAACCAACATTCCAACAAACATTTGCTGAAGGAAACCCAAACATTTGACCAAAATCATACAGCTTAAAAGCAGGTAAAACTCAGACTTTATAGAAAAAAGAAAATCTAAAAATATTCACCTGGTGGAAGGTTTAAAGAAAGAGGGAGAGAAAAAAATCTTTTTGCACAGTGAATGTAAATCTTGGGTTTCAACTGTATGTGTGAACTGCAGCTATAATAGCTTTAGGACGTGATTCAGTGTTATGTGAATAAAAGCAGAGAATGCCATTACGCCCTTGCATTCAAACCAAGCATTTTACTTCCAACAGAAATGTATGAATTATTCAAGTGCAGAAAAGGCTTCTATTTCAAGGGATGAACCACTATTTTGTTTTTACATAACCACAAGTAACCTGTTTTGAATTGTAGCTTTAAATGCTGTTAGATAGAGCCTGTTGCACAGAGGCATCATTTGTTCCACAACTTTAGTTGCATCTAAATGCCTAAAATGACAGTCTAACTTCAGAAGTGAAGCAATAATAGACAAAGGCTTGTTGTCATGCCAACCTGTCCAAGACCTGAACATGGTAGATTCAGGTGACATGAAACTCTGTGCAGCTTGGTGCACATAACCTCTTGGAGGTGATGTGATTATAGCAGGAAAGAGTGCCGATAAGAATTTCAGGAAAAACTTCAAATTCTTTTTTGTCAGTTACTTATGGGTTCAGGGTCAAACAAGGGTACAAACTACATTCCACACGTCGGTCCTTTAAGACGTCTTGGGTTAAGCACTTTACCCAAGATGTCTTCACATCTCTTATATTATATCAGCTGCAGAAACATCTAGCATGATCTAGAAACTTCTTTAAAACAAGAACACATCTTGCAGAAATACAAAAACACAATCAGTAAATAAATGGTCATAATCAGTTCCATCAAAGATGAAATAAGGCTAAAAATGAAATTTTCTATTACAAGAGCAATAAAAAAAATGAAAGCAAACATATTGGTGGAAAGTAAAATGGAAAGGGAAAAGTCTGGAAGAACAGAAAGAACCACAACCTTCAGAAGGTTTTGAAGCAAAGCACCTTCAATGGAAAGGAAGTTCCAAAGGCTTGGACTGTGGCTGAGCCATCAAGAGCCTTAGACATGTCTAGGTGGTCCAAAGTCTCTCGTCTTGCCTTCATGGCATGAAGTATTTTATGTCAATGGATCCCCAACCAACTATTGAGTGAATATAGTTTATGAAACTCAAGAAAGCTTAGAAAGAACATCTCAAGTACAGAATATAAGAAATATGAGCGTTTATGGAAAAGTTAATTCATTGTACTTCAAAGGGAGTGCTGTAGTGAAACACAGGCTGCAGGATTAGGTGTGAGCTTCACGCTCTCTTTTTGTGATGGAGATTTAGGCTGTGCTGTCTTTTACGTACAATTTGAAAGAACAAAACAACCCAATAGTACCAGAGGAAAAAGCTATATGAAGTGGGAATTGGAAAAGCAATATAGTCCAGTAATGCATGTATTCATGCTAGACTTTCTAAAAAGCGTCAGCAGTGCAATCAGAGCATGGTGGATCAGCTGCGTGATAACAACAATGATGCAGCCACAGATGTTCTTTTGTTGATAAAATCAAGAAGAGATTGCTCCATGTAGTCGTGAGCTCAGCCATTTGCTTCCTTCTTCTGCAGCCATGATTCAAATACAGCTAACAGAGGATGGTACTGATCATTCATGCACATCCCTAACTCAGCATGGTACCATGTGCAAGGTATTAACAGCAAATCCTGTTCTGTTCAGTCACATCACCACAATGCATTCCTTGCATGGTGCACTAATTTGGAAAGAGAGTGAAAACCAAGAGGAACCAGTAACATTACTGTAAACTTAAGAAGTCACTTAGGAACCTTTCTTTTATAGGTAACATTCACCATTGTGCTTCACAGAAACAGTGAAGCACTTGATGTTTGCAAAAATATATTTGCACCAATTGATAAATAAACTATAATCATTAATATTTAACAGTGTTTCATGTAATACCTAAAGATTGAATAAATATTCATGTTCTCTACAGAAAAACAAACGAACAAACAAACAAAAATAAATATATATATATATTTATTCTGTTATTAGTCAAGAAAAAAAATTGTAAGCCATTTATTTTATAGCATTTTTACAATTAAAATGCCATAAATTAAAACATCCTGAAGATATTGAATGCTTTATACATTTATATTCAAATAGATCAATTATTTTCTTTAGTTGCATACTGTAGCATAAAAGTAGAACTAATTGGGTTCAGGGCTGCAAGGGGCTGGAGCCATAAGGCAAACCCAGGTCACTATTTCTTCACAGGGTCAACAGAGAAAGACACATCAGCTGCATAATTATTCATCACAGTAGTTAACCAGAATCTACTGGGAGGGAATCTTATTCACAGAGAGAAAGTAAAAACCTTTTGGTTGTGAGGTGACATCTGATCCACACTGCTGACTACCCACCTTCACCTGAAATATGAGACAACTTTTGCTGGTAATAGCATCAATATAGCTGTTGCCGCATTCACACCCAGTTTGGCCAAGTGCTTTTAAAGGCAAGGAGATGAGGATGCTGGGAAAGTTGATTTTTGCTGCAACATTTGGGATCAAATGTCACCTCATTTCATTGACATTTATTTGTCTGGGCTGAGACACAAGTGATGGTATCCTAATAACCAAACCTTAACTTTTGTTGTTTTTATGGGTTAACAATGACACATATCTGACATTGTGTCTGACTTGTTACACATAGAATCTTTCATTGTCAAACTAGAATGATTTGGACCATTCTGCAAATTTTATTACCAAAGATAACCTGAGTAAATACAAAAAGCAGATTTAAATGATGAAGAAAAATCTAACAGGCCATGAAAGGTAACAAGCTGCTGTTAGCCTTTAGCCTAAATGAATACAGCTGTATGTTTTGCTGAGGAAAATTCACTCCTGCATAAATAAAGCTTCAGAATGCTTATCATTTAGATAGACCACATTGGATCATAACAAGATTTGTCGACATGTGTTTTCACAGCCCACTGCTTCACTCAAACATAATGTCCCTGTGGAGCACAATGGCAAGGTGCTCTAATTGAATAACACAAATAACTGGATATTATTCTGAGTTTTCCCAGTAGCTATTTTCTCACTGCAGACAAAAGTGGCTTTTACATAATTTATAGTAAAGTGACTCTCCACAGTCAGTTCAATTTCAAAATTTCTGTTAAGCCACAGTCATGAAACATTCTCAGAAAATCCACCAAGACATTCTGCTGGGTCAAATGAAAGATGAAAAAGGTCAAGAGGCAAAAGACAGAAACTAAGAACAATTACTGTAATTGTGTTGCCATGTAAGTATGAAAGTGTGTATTTAAAAGCCAATATTTGGGAAAAGAAAAAAGTTTCTTCATGGTGTTCAGTGGGGTTAAAAATATTTACTTCATGCCCAGAACAATAGCTAAAGATAGCTCATTATCCACAGTGAAACCAGTCGTGTCCCACCATAGGCTGAAAGGCCGCTCTGAGAGGAAGAAGCCGTTACTCCAAACCAAACATTCAGCCAGATTACAATTCAGGAATCTATTTAGAAACAAGAGCTTTGGAGACATCTCCTGTAGTCTGAAGAAACAAAAATGTAAGTTTTGAACCCTTCTGACTGTTGTCATATTTAAAATAAAATAAAAAAAAAAAATTAAATTAAATCAAAAATTAAAAACAGATGTATTCAAGACAAAAAACAATCTGGAAATTAGAGTCTACAGACATCAGCCAGAAAGTTAAAGTTTGAGAGTAAATGGATCTGTAATACCTACCAGTAAACATGCCAGTTGAGAAACAAAATGTTTGTCAGTAAAACTTTTGTAGTGCTAGGATTAGGTAAACTGCAATGGAAATTTTTTTTTTTTCCGCATCACACTACTCAGGCTAGCCACAAAGAAGGCAACAGGAAGTAGTTAGAGGATCATGATACGGCATTTCTTTTAATACGTGGACAAACTTATTCATACTTGATTTTAATTGCGTTTCTTATTGAATGGAGACACCACAATTGCGAAAATGTAATCATTTGACATTAGTGTAATATTGACAAATTTTGCTCACATGTGCAATGGTTTGTTTCAGATTGAGCAGGAAAGAAGACTTTAGTGGGTGGAACCTAAATAGTGTATGTGAATAACTTTGGTAAATCAGATGACCTAAAATTGTAAAAGTTAAGTTCAGGCTAAAGTCAGATAGTTTGTCTTTTGGATACAATATATGGAAATATGTTGTTGCAACACTATCCAGTTTTTGCCACATGCTTACTCAGTGTAAATACTCACTTTCTTTTCTCTGGCAGCCATTTGTCTTTTCCTCTTCACTTGGCTTCTTGCGATGCTGGCAAATTTTCTAGCCACAGTTCTGGGGCGGCTGATTGGGATGGAGCGCCTCTCCGCTCCCTCCACTGGCGGGACGATCTCTATTGCTGTGATGCATTCGTCGCCCGCCTGCTTCGTTACTATCTTTATCTTGGACCACCTTGACGATGGGTTCATCTTGGTAAGAGCAGAGTTGGACGTTGTCGTAACAACTGGATTGGGATTTGTAGCTGCCTGTAATCAAAAGTAAAGAGTTTCATTAAATTTCACTGTGATTTCTCTTTTAATAGGGCTAAAACTTTTCTTTTTCATAAAGTGTACAGTTAGAGTAGCTAACAGTAGACTGTGATAAGATGGCTGCTCACACTGAACCAGGACCAACTAGAGGTTTCTTTCCCGTTAAAGTTAAGTTCTTCTTAACTTTAAGTATTCCTATGAGCCACTGAAGCTCCTCTCCAGCATCAGAGTAGGTAATTTGCAGTAAGGTCTCACAGCAATTCAGTTCCTGTGAGACCTTAAAGGGTTGAGGTGAAAGTTAATGTTCTACATCAAGTCAGTAACACTGAGCTGCCAAAAATGAGACAGTAAGTACAAAAGAATAGGCAGTTAATTAAGTGACTACAAGTTGTTGAGATTTTAAATCAAGACCATAAACTAAGCCATATTTCCATTCATTGTAATGTAGTTCATCTTTTTTGGATCATTGTCTTTTTTTTTCTAAAGAAGCCGGGAAGTTCTCGGTTCAAATCCCAGTCCAGGTTCTTTCTGCTGGGGCCTTCCATGTTCTCTTCAGGGACTTTGACTGTTGGGTTAATTGGTCTCTTTAAATTACCCTTGGGTATGAATGTGTGTGTGCATGTCTGTTTTTCCTCTGTGTTGTGATGGGCTGGCTGCGTCTCCAGGGTATGACCTGCCTCTCACCTGTTGACCTCTGGAGATAGGTCATAAATAGTTATTAGATGGATAGGATGTACTGCTTTATACTAATTTTGTTTTTATTTTTCAATAATTAAAGACAATGAATTAAAAAAAAGTTGTGAGATGAGATTCTAGCCTTATCATTATTATTATTAGTAGTAATATGTTAATTTCTTTACACCTTGTGCCTATAAACGAACATTTTTCAAGTCTGTAATATTTCTGTTTTCTGAATTTTTTAAATCTTTTTTTGAAAATTTATGGCAATAAAACTATTTCTGAAAGACTGACAAAGGCTGTTTCTTATTTAATGGATCACATATGCATTCAAACTGCACCAGAGTTCATTTCAACCAAATTGAGGCCCAGGTTTTTTATTGGTCAGAACAAGGCTGGTGTGAATTCAACATAATTCACATATTTCCTACAATGTGTCTTGGTTGCAAAGTCGGATCAGAAAAACCAAAAAGGCTATATATGTCTGGCCTTTAATTTAATTTTTATTTTTTTTACACACACTGCTGTTCTTTAGAACCTCTGTAAGAGTTCCAGAGTCTTTACTTGCATCTGGGTTCACCAGTAAAATGTCTGAACGATAAGCAAATATGAACCAGCACATTTGCATGCTGATAAGAGCCGCTGCATTCTACTCCTATCTGCAGACGTGAAACATGGCTGCATGTGATACAAGTATCCACGGAAAACAGCCATCAGGTAGCCAGTGTAGAGAAAACACCGCGATCTCAGCATCATGCCTCATGGAAAGATGCTCCCCCATGTCTTTTCCCTGGAGTTTCCTGCTGTGAGAGCTCATCTCCAGCAGAACATCTCCCGCCCTGAACAGCTCATGTCAACAGCATCTGGGGAAAAGAGCCAAGTCAAATTGTCTGTAGAGTCTTGTGAGCATCTCTTTGTGTGTGAATAGACCTAATGGGAACATTAATCAGTAATATGGGGCTGGAATGTTTTAAAAGTGGATTTTTTCCCCCACTGATGTGTAAAATACAGAGCGCTGGGAATTTCTTTATCTAAATACATGGGCAGGGCTTAAGGCAAGAGGAATCTGTTTCAACAGTTGTTTTGGCAAACAGTTTCACAGTTAAAAACTGGTTTAAAAAAGCCCCAGCCTGAGTGCTAAGAATAAAACTCAGTGGGGAAAACGGTTGGAGGATGTGTGAAGAGCAGTTTAAACACCTGGAACAGTTTGTTTCTATGAGTTAGAGAACAAAAAAGACTATTCTGAAACATTATGATCTAAAAAAGCAATGGAATTTAATCACCTTTTTCATTTTCATCTAAAATATGAATACAAAGGACTGATTTTCTAAAAACTAAATAATTTTGCAAAACCAACTCAGTTTTGAGGGTACCCCTATTTGCCGATTTTTTTTTTTTCACAGAAATGGAGCTTGAAGGGAATTTGACATGCTGCTGGCTTGTGCTTGAAAAACAGCCAATCTAGGAGAACCGCTTATTTTCCTTGGTGCTGATTGGCTGCATCCCGAACAACAAAGATAAAGAAGGCTGTGGAGGTTAGCTAGCAGTAGTTTTCACTGTAAACATGTATATTAAAGTAGATTTGGTGTTTGAACTATCACAGGGTTCACCGTACTTGTGTACATTACAATCACAACGAATTGTGTCAAATTTCCAAAGCCCTGCGCTGTTTGTAACACACACTTTGTCAAAGAGTTTCACAGTTAAAAACTGATTAAAAAGAAGCCTCAACCTGAGGCTATATCAGAGGAATTGTAACCTCTGATAAAAATAGGACAGAAGTGTCACAGAAATATGAGTCTGAAATCATGTTGCTGTTTTATATTTAGGGGATAAAATACCCAACAAATCCATTTTCAGCTCACACAAATTATAGTGTTATTTTATATGGAAAAAAATCCAATAAAATAAAATGATATAAAGTGATTTACTTTGTTGTTAATTTTTAAATTAATTTTGCTTAATCACAGTGTTTGGAAAGCTGACTTACATTTCATTAACTGCTTATAGATCTCCATAACCAGTTTGACAACTTAAAGTCGGCTAAAAGTCTCAAGAAGAAAATGTGGGAGAAAAATAACCTGACTCAATACAAGAAATTGTTTATGATATGAAAGTTCAGCAGTAAAACAAACAACACTCTCTAACTTTCAGGAAGTAAAGAAGAAAGTTCTGGAGACCTCACTGCTAATGTTAAGGTCAAAGGTCATGGTAAAAATGGCTTCCATTGGGATAGTTCTAACATATCTGATTTGTTTAAATCATTTGCCAAGAATTTCCCCCGAAATTACACCTCTAAAAGTCCTAATCAAAGTTTTGATTTAGATCCACCTAAGTAGCTGAATTAAAATAATTTACAAAGAAGAGGGGGACAAAATTCCTCAATAGTGATTATGAATATAATCTTTGCCAATTAACATCGAAGATTGTTGGGAATTGGTACAAATGAGTGTTTGTTATATTTTCTACTTAGACCAGACATGAATGGATGGTTTATCTATGAAATTATTAAAAAAACACTTTGTTGTATTTACTGAGAACATTTTTGATGATTAAAAAATTATTAAATGTGTCTTTCTGTGATGGGGACAAGGCCAGAATTCTGCAATGGGGAAACTTTTTTTTTCAAATAAATCCAATTGATATTAATCAATCAATGTTTGCATGTAAATGTAAAAATTTACATGGAAAAATTTCTAGTCTTGTTAGACTGGAATCATATAACAACACATCCAACATTGCCATTGGTAAAGACACGTATATCACTTTGCAGGTACAAACTTATGACTCAGAAATGACGCTGTGCTGACATGGCGCCTTCTGGATATTGAAAGAGTTAGATTCATATTTTCACAAGAAAATTAAAGTATAAATAAAAAACAGGCAATATTTCAATATTCAATATTCCTACTGGTCTCTGCAATTAAATTATTTTCCCATTTACTGTCACCATTATTTTATTTGTAGAGCAAATATGCACTAACAAAATATGTTACAGTAAAAATGATGGCGATGGTAGAATGAGGTAAAGACATTAATATTTTCAAATCAGCTGCGTTTGCTCTCAACTTGATACATTATGATGAGTTTCCGAACCATGTCTGTAATGATTATGTTTCAGACGTGGTGCTGGGTGTCAAACACACAGAGCAGGTCAGTCAGCGTCGAAGGAAAGCGTCCAGACCGGCATCAGATTGTTTTACATCAAACCTACTGTCCTTACATGCAAATTCAGACTGTGAAAGTTCCATCTTGATTTTTTTTTTGCTCTTCTGCATAATGGTGCATTCATCTGAAAAATATTTGCATACATCACTCAAACAGAGCTGCCATTTGCTTCCCTTTTTGTGTCATTATATAATTCTCCTGCTTGTCATTGTGTCCATTTGAAGTTTGACACCAAGCCATCACTAAACCACAAGATTTTAATGCAACTGAATTTTAAATCTCTATAGGCTGAATTGACTGGATTTTAAGAATTATGTAGGAATTAGTCCAAATAGAACAAGTCATCTTCAGAATTAGATGCTTTGACTTTTGACATAGTGATGTCCAAATCTAGAAAGTTGTTTTCATCTTTATCAGAAGCTCTGCTGCTGTTCTTCATATTACATGCAGATTCAGTGACTATTGTCAAAGTACTTTCTTACTCACTAAGAAATGTATCTTTTTTTATCTGAATCTGAATTATACTGAAATATATTTTTAAACTTGGGTTAACTTGAATACAATTGGACTGAACATGTCTGGTTGTAGAGTGACTTGAGAGGATTTTTGTGAAAAATTGCTATATTAAGAAACCAAATTGAAATAAATTATATTAATATGATGAAGTTTAACTAAACTATCATGGAAAAGCTCTCTGAACTTCTTTGTTGCTGAGAATTGCTGCACAAATTAACTTTTTGTGCGTTGGAGGTGCAGTCTACAAGCACCACGCCAAAATAGAGAAATCAGATTATGGCTCCCCACAATACAGCCATCAATCTCAGCATGACTAGACAATATAGCCGCTACATAAACCTTAAGCGTCGAAGAAGAACGACCCTTATCAAGAAGGGACTGAAGAAACTCCAAAATAGAGGGTGACTGGATCATCACGACAGGCAAAACACCACCGTGAAAACAGACGCCATCTGTTTTCATATTGCTGACGAGTGGAGAACGCCCTGTGCTGGACAAGAGCTAAATACCCAGTCAGCTACTGTTCAAGCCTCCCAGTGGCCACACCCACAGCCGTAGACATTGAAGATTGAGATGCCATATCTGACCCCCCAAATGACACGGTAAAGTCCTCCTGGTCGGGAGACACCATGGGACACTGTTACACAGACTCCTCAGAAGTGGGAATCATGGCTGTGCTGGACAATACGGAGCTACCAGCAACATTCTTTCGGCCAAATCAGGGAAAGGGGCGGGAAGGCATATAGGAGGACCCTGGGCCAACGATGGGCCAAAGCGTCCTGGCCCAGCGAACCGGCGGCCCCTGTAGGGGAAAACCATAGAGGACAATAAGTCGATTCCTCTGTGGCGAACAAATCGACCTCTGCCTGACTGAAAAGGTCCCAGACCAGACGGACTAGGTCGCTGTGGAGGGACCACTCTCCTGGAGCCGGTGCCTATCGGGAAAGGGAGTCTGCTACCAGGTTGTGCAGCCCCGGCAAGTACACCGCCTGCAGGGTGGATAGGTGAACAGATTCCCACTACAGGAGATTCACCCCTGCACAAATAGGCCCTGTCTCTCCATGGACTCAGGGCACGAAGACACGGCCACGTTACCACAGATTTGTGGTGCCTGTGAAGGTTGGCATCCAGGTGCCAGCTATTGATCCACCTCTGCAAAGGGCGCAGAGGTGGACTTGAGTAACCGATGTTAGTTTACCCAGCAGCCGCAAGAAGGCAATGTAAGGAAGCCGCTTGCCCAGGCTGAATGAACTCACCAGCTGGAGAATGTTGTCCACCCTCTGGATAGATAGGTAGGCTGTCATGAAGGGAGAATCCAAAAGCACTCCAAGAAAAGTAGTTTTCAGTGATGGAATCAGACAACTCTTCTCCAAGTTCACTTTGAATAGGAGACTCGTATCACGAGATGCATGCTCTTGAGACGGGGCGCAGAGAAGCCAATCGTTGAGGTATGGCAGAACCTTCACGCCAAGGGCTTGCACAGGAGAGAGGCGATCCCAATAGGCAAACCTGAGAAAGCGGCGATGTTCCGCCACAACAACAGCTACATGAAAGTACGCATCTGTAAGGTCGATTGATGTAAACCATTCCCCCTCTGTCACTGCCCAAAGAACCTCTGTCGTCGTCATTGTGAGCATGTGAAATGGCAGGACCTTTAAATATTGATTGAGTCCCATGAGGTCCAAAATGGGACGAAATCTGCCCGTCTTTCTTGACAAGAGGAAATAGGTTGAACAGTAGCCTCTGGTGCGAAATGTGAGGCAGCCGTCGGAACTGCAGCTGGTAACCATGGGTCAGAGTGGCAACCACCCATGGTCAGTGGCAACTGAGCTGCTGATGAAAAAAATATCCAACGGCTGGCCTGGTAGCATCATTTTCTTTCCCCAACATGAGTTCTGGGGGTGGGGGGGGGGTAGGGAGGTGGGTGTGGGGGGGGGTGCGGCAAAGTCTGTGGCCCTGGTGTGCCTGGTTGGTTGACGGACTGGCACGTAAAAGTCCCTGCTGGCTCTCTGCTGCCGGGCGAAACCCACCAGGCCGATCACAACCCCAAGGGAGCCGAATGCTGGGGCCAGCTGATGGGCGCCTTGGAGTATGAGAAGGAGGGGGCATACCTCTGCTGAGACCTGAAAGCTGTTGTCCAGTCTGCTGTGCCTGAACAGTTCGTTGCAGTGCTCCCAAGGCAGCAGAACCGAATAACTCCCCTGGCACCACAGGAAAACTGCGGAGAGTCCTGCAACATGTTTCAGTCAATGTGGACTGAGCCAGCCAGATCTGTCAGCGAGCCTGGACTAGAAAAGATACCACACGCTAATCAATGCAAAGGCTTGAAGCACTGCATCACTAAAGTCAATAGCTGCATCAGCCCCACTGGCATCCTGAAGGAACACAGAAAGAGCAAACATGAGGTGCGTCAAGAAATTGCCAAGGCGACCGGCATGTGCCCCGGCATTATACGCTTTACAGAGGAAGCCATTTGTAATACGACATTGAGCCTGTAGGCTCAATGTCATCACACAGGGCTTCATCTGGGGACATAATGAGCAAGGCAACAGCAGGTTCAACCGCAGGCATGCGATCCAAGCCTGCCGTAACTGACCCATGCATAGCTGCCAACATCCGACCATCGGCAGAGAGACGTGAAAAGGCTCTAGGGTCCCGCCAACAAGCATGCAACTCACTGAGATACTTCTTTGATGGAGAGACAGAAACGGAGGTAGGGCCCGCAAGCGCTTGAAAAAGGCACTCAAACTCGTGGGACATTAAGCTGCAGCTGTCTTAGGGCCATATGCATGATGCCCTGCAGTGGACCGTCAACAGAGCCACTAGCTGCACTCTGAGATGAAGAGTCTCTGAGTGTCAGAATCTGTCTGAAGAAGAAACTGCATTAAATTTTCTATCACTTCATCATTTTTGATACAACTGATGTATTTTCGCATATAAAATAAGTCAGTCAAGTTTAATTTACAATTCCTATGTCTTCGTGTCATGAGGTAGATCTCAGCTGACTGGTGAGAGAAAAAGTAGATCTTGGTCTCAAAAGGTTTGACCACCCCTGCTTTAGAGTAATCAACCTGTAAGCCTGACACAGAGCTGTTGCATTTGCATTCAGAGAAAAGGGGGCTGAGTACTTTTGCACACCACATTTTTCATTTGTGAAAAAAAATGTTTTGAATCATGTTGAATTTTCTTTGTACTTCACAATTTCATACAATTTTGTGTTGGTCTTTCACATTAAATTCCAGGGAAATATATTTATGTTTGTGAAAGTAATGTAACAAAACACAAAAATGTTCAATTGATAATACGTATTGATAATTTAGCAAGCCACAGTATGCAGATCACCACTTCTGAACAGAGACTTTGAACCTTAAAGCAGGAAACACACTTGGTCCCAGAGTGTGTTGTAAACAACAAGAAAGGTTATATCAGCAGTTCATATTCTCTTACCTCACAACTGAGAAGTACTTAAATGTTACAGCCTACATGAGTTACTGACCATGAGTAACTCTTTATGGCCACTGACAACATTGTCCACATTTTAGACACAAACCTCAATCGTTGCCTCGCTCTTAGCGTTTGGTTCTGTTGGAGGGATAAAAGCTGTGGACGAGTCGTTGGAACTCTCCTTCTCCTCCTGTAAGAAAGAAAAAGCCACAAACTGTAATGCCACTCAGTTATGTAATAAATACAGGCTCATAATATAGTCTCTCTGCTTTCATTGAGGGCACTCCAAAGCTGCAAGTAGGGGTTAGAGGACTGCAGTATTCTGTAGATGGCTATGAATTTAGAATCTGCTTCACGGAGAGCTGTGAGAAATTCTCGTTAGATCTCCTGATTAATAGAACAGGTAGGAGGATTGCAGCAGATTCTATATGCGGAATCTGTATCCTGACTTTAGTCTGTGAACTAACATCGGTGAAAGTGAAAGGAGTCATTCTTTGACTGGAAAGAACTGAAACAGAAACATCAAAGAGGTAGAGCGAATATTCAGAGTGGAAACCTCCATTAAAACAAAAATAAACTTATAAGCACCAGACACACAGAAAGGCTACATCAGGAGTTTATGATTAGATGGATTCCCTTCATGGGAAAAAACCAATGCCATGGATTGGTTTTGCTACCCTACCCTGTTTGTACTACAGGCAACAAACATCAAGGGTTTATCACAGTCAGTGCTGTCAGGTACTTTTTATTATACTTCAGGCTCATTTCAGCAAAAACTTTCATTTTTGAAATGAACGTTGAAAAAAGCTAAACGGTATCCCAGAGGTCAGTCAGGTTACTACAGCCATGTAACCTTCATGGTTGTAGATTACTACAACCATGAAGATTTAACTGCAGCATGAAGTTAAATCTTCATGCTGAAGATGAATCAGATGTTTTAAGATGTTAAAGAATCAGTACAATATACCAGACATCCAATACAGTTAGCCCCCAAAATCACCCATTTTCATGACCTTTTACATCTATGCTCCTGATTCTATGGGTAAATTGTCAAACATAGCAGAGTTTAGTGAAGGAGGGTCTACTGTGATGAATGTTATCTCAACGTTCCTGGAGATGACAGAAGTCAGAACAGAGTGAAAATGAATGGTGCTCTGCTGCTGACCAACCGGTTAGACACACAATCCTTCAGCCTCACAAACTGGGGTAGTAGCTTTAATGCTTTTTTAAAAACAACTTGGCAAAAGAGTTAAGAACTTAAAATCAACATTTTCTGAACCAAAGAGAAATGATGGAACATTTAAGGGAGTAATAAAACAGATTTTTCTTTTTGGGCCAAAGACAGTTTGTCCGACAAATTCCCAAACACTGATATTAAACTATGAGGCACTGTGGTAAAGACACTAAAGGAACAAAATGTTTCTCATACTATGGAGTTTATAATCTACTCATCTAACACCAGTGATCATGGATCAGTCTGAATACAAGAAAATACTTGAAGAAGTTATGTTTCCTTACACAAAAGAGCGGCCAAAACTCAAACAGATGGGGTCAAATATGCTGATTCTGAGGCAACACAGATAGAAGCAGATCCAAGAAACAGCTAAACATCAGTTCAGTGATTTTCGGTTTACACAATAAATGTTTTACTCTGTAAATTAATTAAATTGCCAATTTAATTAATTCTTAATTTAGATGATCTAATATTCATTCAATCAGTTTCTGAAGACTGATTGAATATTTATTCTTTGTTGTTTCACAGAGGGCAAACTCAGATATCACAACAGTGTGGACATACACACTGCTGTGAAGGAGTGTACCGCGTTACAATTTAATTTCAGACGCAAAACCGCGAATATTTATTTTTTAAAAGAATTTTGTACATTTTGAAAATGGATGTTTTTATTTTTTCAACATTTTTTTATACATATTATTAATATTTCAAGCGAAATCAGGTTTTACTTTCCTGAGATTTTAGAATCTTCTTTAAAGCTATGTGTTTAAATCTATAGGGTCACACATCTCTAGGGTTTACATTTGTAAGTAGAGGTGTATGAACATATGTAAATATAAAACAATCAAAAAATATGTGAACCTATACAAGAAACAATTGTAACACTTCCTTTGACTGGTTGTGAATAAGACTGTCATGACATGTTATGTTATGTCATGATCTGACATAAATTTGTTATCAAACTTTACCTTTAATAACATAAAGTCACCTCATTTTTTAAAGTTTAATCAGTAAATACTTTTCTAACAAATTTATGTCAGATTATGATTTATTGGTTAATGACTAGTTGCCATAACAGACATTTTGAATAATGTCAACTTTGTATAAAAAGTGCCATGATGTATAAAAAATGACACTTTATGACAACAGTCATAAATATTCATGACAGGTATTATTTCATGTTTATGACAGTCTTATTCACAACCCATCAAATAAAGTATTACTGAAACAACAGATAGTACATGAGATAAAATCTGTGTAAGTTTGTGATTTAGAGAAGAATGTTCTCTGTTCCCATGACATTTACCAAAATAAAAGCTATCACAAGGATTTTGAACATTGCTCACTTTTTATAGATGTGCTATTATTTTGAACCAAACTGTAATTTAGCATAAATACTCCATACTGCCATAAAGCTGCAGCTGGAGATGAATGAGCTCAAGCTGCAGGTGAACATGTAGGCCGGGGGCATTCATCCTTCAGAACAAAACAACACTGACAATCATATAGGTACGCAACGCTCTGCCTGCACAAAAAAGTAACAATGAGGTTTTCAGAGTTGCTATGGAGATCTGTCTCAGTTTTACTGGGGTGTGGTTTCTAAGTTTTTTACCTTTTTCACCTTCTCTTTCTCTTTGACTTAACAGTTCCCTCTTTATCTTTTTCTTTTTCCTCAGCAACACCAACACTCAAAGTAAAACCATGGCTCTAATAAATGCATGATCTACTGTATGTGTTTAAATCTATAGGGTCACACTTAAAGTTTTTCAGTATTTTTTTTGTGTGTATTTTAGTAGCCAAGCAACATTTCATTGTTAAATTCACTATTGTGTCGTTGTGCAATGATATTAAAATAAGTCTAACATTGTCAGTGTTCAAATACGTTTCCTTTTCTCATTTTCAAACATCCAGATAGAACAATTCCAAGTGAAAGCAGCAGAAGGAAAAAGGAACATGAGAGGACTCAGAACCACAGAGGGTTTAAAGAAGAAATAATTCAGGTTTTCAGGTCGAGGCCCTGAGCTTTCCACCCCAGGGAACCGATGAAACGGACGGTGTTCAGCTCCACAGTTACTGGAGGGCGCTGAATAAATGTGGAAATAGCTCTAAGACTACATTTATTTATTTATGATTTAAAGAATGTGACAATGTTGATCAGCTTAAATTCCAGATTTTTTTCACTATTTGGAACAATACAAGAGATGAACATTTTGGAAGTTTAATCAAAATGGATGCAAAGACCATCATGTTGAAGCTTAGAGTTTGATTTTTCCAACAACTAAACTTTCTAATGTCTAATAAGGTTTAGAATAATAAGTCAGTACCTGTGCCAGTCTGGGACTGGGGTGCCCCAGGGCTTCGGCTTGGGAAGGTTTCAGTTCCTCCACCTGGCCGTTCTTTACTCCATCCAGAGCAGTGGTGGTGGAGTCCAGGCTGGCCTTGGGAGTGGAGCGAGGACTGACTTGAGGGCTGGTATCGTTGTTGTTGTTTTGTTTTATCATGTGACTCTTTAGCAGGTTGGGAGGTCTGAGGAAATGGACAGTTATTATATTCAATTAGAAAATATGTTTAAGACTCTAGAGAATGTTTTTGGACGTTGCCAAAACTGTTTTATAATAATCTCAAACAGTAACTCTTTTTTTGTCCTGCTATCTGATATTAACACATTATGACGTTATCCTGTTTAATTACATTTTCTAAATGTAAGAATATATGTATATATTTTTTTAAATCCTTGTGACTTTCTTTAAATTTTGACTCATTATGTCATCTATCAGTTTGGGATCATGTTGCAGGTGGATAAAGGTTTGATGAGTTAATTCATGACATGATCTAATCAGAGCCAGACTGAAAAGTTTAACCAGATTTAATGTCAGAGTGAAGAAAAAGATTGCATTGTTATATACAGGGTGTGCAAACCTCTGGTATTTTTTTTAAGCTAGGTAGAATTTGAGAAAAAAAATCCCTGTTATGTCCAGAAGGTATTTCAAAGAAGTTTGATGTTTAATTCACTGATCAATCTTACTTGATTCCCTTCTTCTCTTTCTTCTCAAGTTTGTGTTTGGAGACTCTGCTCCTGGAAGCCAAGGAGATGTTGATGTATAATACTGTCATAATAACGACAGGCAGATAGAAGGCAGCTATAGCCGTCCCAAAGGTCACTGCAGGGTTAGAAAGGAACTGGAAGAGGAAATAGAGAAAAGAAAAATGTAAGATATGTAAGAGATACACAGGCTACCATTTAAAGTCTAATAAAAAGTATTTTGTCTTTAGTCCACACGTTGAGACTGACCAAGACTTTGCTCTGACTAATACAAACCATGTAGAGACTACACAGAGACTATTTTTGGTCAAACTAAAAGGATATTCTCACAGACTCAGCTCTAGTTGCATTTAAGTTTTCCACCAAGTTTGAAACTGGATTCTTGAAGGAGTGGGACTAATAAAACAAACAAAAAAACACCTCTTCCAAAGAATTGACCAGATGTTATTTGTTTCAAATTGGCTTTTCCATCATATATTCCCACTTGAAATGCAGAGCAGTCCATGTCATGTTTTTATTTTACTGAAATCCACCATCTACAAAGTAGTAACTTTTTTTTTTCCAGCATTCATAATAACTGATTTCTTGTGAATGTAGCTAGTGCTACAGTTAGCGTTGGCACATACTGACACCAGTAGAAATCTTGGTGGTTTGTTCTCAATAAGACTCTTGCCAGGCATCAATGTCCCTGTGGATCTTCAGACCCAAACCATGAAAATCAAAATTTTAAATAGTCATGGTCATACTTCCTTTACTTATTTATTTTTGCATCTCCCATACTCTGTCATTCACTGTCCTCAAGTACAGGAATCCATCCATTTTATCTCTGGCATTGGCTCGATGAAGTTGACTAAATGTCAGCAGTTACTTTTTCTGGTTTATGGTTTTTCCTCGTCCTAGTTTTTGGTGAACTGGAAAAATGTATTTAATGGTTTCCTTTCCAGAGATTAAATTTAAAAAAGTGGAAGATGAGACTTTTATTTATCTCCTTTCATAAAAATTATTGGCATTATCATCATGTGTGTGAAACTAATTTATATTCATGTAAATGAAGACACAAAGTGAGTTATTTATTCCAATAACTTCCTGGAAACTAAACGCTCATAAAACTTAACTTTAAAAATGCTGACCTTTCCTCTTAGTAACGTGGGACATTGACAATCGTACGTGACCTATAAAATGTACCTGAATGTAGCATTCTCCTGCTGGCACTGTTCGCTCCCCGACAATGAACTGCCAGAACAAGATGGCTGGAGCCCACAAGATGAACGACAGGATCCAAGCAGCAGCGATCATTAGTCCTGCCATCTTGGTTGTCCTTCTGGTGGGATACGTCAGGGGTTTGGTCACGCAGAAATAGCGATCAAAGCTGATGATCAATAAGTTCATCACAGAAGCGTTCGAAACGACATAATCTAAAGCTAGCCACAGATCGCAGACGACCGGTCCCAGTGGCCAGGAGCCAACAATGATGTAGACTGTGTATAAGTTCATGCTGAAAACTCCAATGATCAGGTCAGCACAGGCCAGGGAAAATAAAAAATAGTTATTGACAGTCTGTAAGTGGCGGTTCACTTTGATGGACAGCATGACTAATATGTTTCCGGTCACCGTCACAAAGCTCAGAGATCCAGTCACCAAAGCAATAAAAAACATCTCTAAGGTTTTATATGAACTTCCATGGCTTGAATTGTTGTCAGGAAGAGAGCAGGACGTGGAACTGTTGGTCGACTCATTACAGGAGATGTTGGAAAACAGGTCAGCTGACTGATTACCTAACGACCCTGAAGGAAAAACCAAAAACAGAAATTAGAAGTAGCTAAGTTTGAAATCTGGAGTCATTGTTTGATAGTTGTTTAATCTGCTTAAGTAAACAGATTAAACAGATTTACAGTGAGAAAGAAAAGTAAAAAAAAAAAATAGACTGAGATTGTGGACAGGTGTTAGAAATTATTTCTGTTTTGGATTTCACTACTGAAAACCACCTGAAAATTGAAACAGAAAACCCAAAATATATCAGATCCCCAAACCCATCCAATTAGAATCCATGCAGAACCTGAAACAAACACCTGCTGTTGCACTGCCACCAGGAATCTGATAGAGCCTAAAACACACTCATATCTCTGCACACTTCCACATTATGTTTTGGGACACTTTGACAGACAATGTTCTACATGATAGACAGACACAGATAGATGAGTGACAGCAGTTTTAAAGAAGGGAGAAGCCTTGTTTGCTGATATTCATCTCAAATGATGTGAAGACTGAGTGCACTAAAGAAACTGACTGACTCCAGCTGTCAAGCCTCAGACCCAGAAGGGAGCAGCGTGGCTTTGGAAATGTTGAGCGGATCATCTTTCAACTGGTCTACATGCGTGGATGTGGAGAAACAACTTAGACTGTGACCCTTAAGGTTTTTATGGGAGGTGTTGCATGAACATGAGGTTCTACGAGGAACATAATCAAAGCAAGCAAGTAAGAGTCGTTTTCAGTGGGGATTGCACTACACCATTCCTGTTATGGATACAATTCTAATGAAAATGAAAAAGATAGATCATATTTTTTCTGCCTTAGCGTCACTTCATTGACTCCCTGTTAAATCCAAAACAGAGTTTAAGATTCTCATGGCAGGCGGCTGCTTGTATTGAGCCTGGTTCTGGTTCTGCTGGAGGTTTCTTCGTGTTAAGGGGAGTTTTTCATTTTCCTCTCCACTGTCGCCTCATGAATGCTCAGTATGAGCCATTGCTGTAAAATCAACAACAGTGCAAGTGGTTGTGGCAACATGCTCATCCAACAGGGATAAATACTGCAAGTCACTGAGTCAATCTAATCTGCTGGGTTTTCTTGGAAACTTTTTAAACTACTTTGAACAATTACCTGGGATCAATTCAAATGTATCAATGATTGTGAAATAAAATTATTATTTTTTTGTAAAGTGCTTTGAGCAGACATTGGTTGTGAATTGGCACTATATCAACACATTGAATTGAGTTGATATAAAGTTGTTTATAATCATCAAATGTGAACTCATCTAGAAAAATGATGTCAGTTGCAGTTTTTCCACTTTTTAAATCAAAATCAAATAAAATTGTATTTGTATTGCGCATTTCAGCAGCAAGGCATTTCAAAATGCTTTACATCAAAAACACAAAAACACAAAGTCATGCAACATAGAATAAAAATACATTGTTCCATATTACATTTCAAATACAATACTAAACAGGTGTGTTTTTAGTTGAGATTCAAAGGAAGTCAGGGTTTCTGCTGGTTTACAGTTTTCTGGAAGTTTGTTCCAAAGTTTTGGTGCATAGATGCTGAAAGCTGCTTCTCCTCTTTTGGTTCTGGTTCTGGAGATGCAGAGCAGAACCAGAACCAGAACCAGAAGACCTGAGAGTCTGGAAGGTTGATACAACAACAGCAGATCTTTAATGTATTGTGGTGCTAAACCGTTCAGTGATTTATAAACTAACAACAATATTTTATCTATTCTTTGAGCTATAGGGAGCCAGTGGAGGGACCTTAAAACTGGTGTTATGTCTCTATCTTCCTGGTTTTAGTGAGAACAGGAGCAGCAGCTTCTGGATCAGTTGCAGCTGTTTGATTGATTTATTGGACAGGCCTGTGTTGCAATAATCAATGCGACTAAAGATAAATGCATGGATGAGTTTCTCTAGATCTGGCTGAGACATTAGTCCTCTAATCCTGGAGATGTTCTTCAGGTGATAGAAGGCCGACTTTGTAATCGTCTTTATGTGGCTCGCAAGGTTCAAGTCCGAGTCCATCACTACTCCCAGGTTTCAGGCCTGATCGCTAGTTTTTAGTTGTAATAACTGAAGCTGTGCATTAACTCTAGATCGTTCCTCTTTAGGTCCAAAAATAATGACTTCAGTTTTGATTTTGTTCAGCTGGAGAAAGTTTTGGCACATCCACACATTGGATTCTTCAGGTTGGTCACTGCTGTTCTAAACATTTATTCAGTGATTGGATGGGTTCAGAGTCACCTGCCGATATCGTAATGTAGAGCTGTGTGTCATTCGCATAGTTATGGTAGCTAATATTATTATATTAGGGGCACCTACATTTTCAAAAAGGACCAGGTAACTTTTAATATCATAAGAAGTTAAATCATCATTTGAAATCAGCATTGTGTGAGTACTCTAGTTCCTTTTATTTACTAGTCTGAAAACTTGAAGTTTTAAAAAGAAAAACCAAAAAAAGAGGAAACTTGTACAAGAGAAAATACTGTTTCAATACTTCACTTACTAATTACAATAAAGATATTTCTAGAAAAAAATATATATAAATAAATAAACAAATAGAAGTAAAGTCACATTGTACAGAAAACTAACTCCAAGAACCTCATGGTGAAACACTGGAACAATGGAAACGGGTCATGTGGTCTGATGAGTGCAGATTCATCGTACTGCAGAGTGATGGGAGCATCAGGGAAAGAATAGCGGCAGATGAAGCGATGCCCCCATCATGCCAAGAGCCTACTCTATAAGCCTGTGGGGGCAGTGTTATGATTAACTCCCACTGAGGAATCAGAGCTGTTACAGCGAGACAACAATGGAGTGCTGAAAAGACACCAGGATACATGGCATCATGTACGCTCTGGAGGAAGAGAAGCTTTACAACCTTAATACAAAAAATATGAGAACCCGTCTAACGGGAGCTCACGGTGGAAAATTACTAGCTTAGTTTGTAAATTAACAATACAACTGTTGAAATCAAATGTTTATATTAAGCATATAAATAAATTTTTTTTAAGAAGTTCTTAACATCACACAATTTTAAAAAGTGGCCTTGGCAATACAAGAAAACCGACACCAAGCAAGTATACAACCTACAATTTAGTTTTCATCCTCATACTTTACTAAAAAGTTCAAATTCTGAGCTGGTCCTAAGGTATTTGGTACATTAAAGTATGAGATTACTTACTAGCAGACATAAACGTATGGGTGAATAGGACAGAAGATAAACTGTCTGGGTATGACAACACAATATCCAGCATAGGTAACAGGTTGGATTGGCTCTGGAGCCCCCTGCTGGAGCGGAGGGGAATTGAACTTAACACCAAGCAGTTTTGGAAAAACGGAGCGAGTGTTTTCCCTTGGCTCTTTCTCTAATTCGGTTGTCAGTACGGATGGATAGATTAATTAAATTGTCCAGAGAGCTCCTAGTCTCTGCAGACTAGTTAAATGATTTGAGATCGATCTGGAATCTGCCTCAGGGTCCTAGTCCTCTCTAAGCACCTCATGATGAGCCTTAACGAGCCGCAGCTGGGGCCTGCACCTGCCGGTCACACTCTGGAGAGACGGATGAGGACAAAAACACCCAAACCACCACACACAGCTCTGTGGATGCCAACTGTACGCCTTATTTTGACGTTTACACCTTAAATTCTACAATATGCTTTTGATTTATAATATAAATACATTGCGGAACATTACAGTGTCTGGTAACTTTTCCAGTTTCTCCACTTTCAAAGTTTCTCCACTTTCAAAGAATAAAGGTCAGTAATTTTAATCGTAAACCTCAGCTGTGGAAGACAGAATCTAAAAAAATGATTCAGAAAATTACATAATTTACGATTTCCATGCAAGTTCAAACAAGAATTACGCAGGATGTGGTCAAGGATCTGGTCAATGACCTGAACTGAGGTAGGACAACAGTCTCAAAGGTTGCCATAGTAACACACTACACAGTCCTGGCTTCAAATCTTGAAATATCAGGCATCTTGCTATCAAAGACGAACTACAGAATGTTGGTTTAAGAACTATTAATCCCAACATGCATTGTGTGATGAATCATGTCAACATGAGGCCTCTGCTGAAGAAACGTTAGGTGAAAAAAAATCTCCAAAAAATATTCTCAATAAGCAAATACAAAATATTTTGGTGATTCTCTCTAAACTAAAACAGGAGAAGTTTGGTCAGATTAACTTCAGTGTATGTAAATAACTAACTTCAACTGCAGAACATTTTTTTAGTTTTTTTAGTGAAAGTATCAATGAATATCAATACATTTGAAAATGTGATTAAATGCAGTTGGTTCCCCAAAAACCTTTTTTTTACACATTGCAAATGGAAGGGTGTAGGTATTTGTATTTGGTGAGGCTTTGATTTTTATGAAACATAGTAATAGTTGCACAGATGCCTAAAAACTGAATAGTTTTATTGTTATCACTATACTGCGACAGACTGGCAACCTGTCCAGGGTGTACCCAGAACATTAGCTGGAGATAGAAGCCAGCACCTCCCAACCCCACTTGGGACAAGGGTGTAAGAAAATGGATGGATGTATGTATGTATGTATGTATGGATGGATGGATGGATGATATCACTATAGCACCACAAAATACCATTATAAAATTATCTCCATATGCCCACCACTAGTGGACTACACAGTAAACTGCAAGATCATTTTAAACAATACACAAAACGTGTGTTTGTGCATCCAAAAAATTTATTTACAATAAATAACAATAAAAATGCACAATCCTGGGGTACAGGTCATTGTAAAACAAAAGCTTCAGTACTAAATATTAGGTCAAATTTCATGCAAAAAATGCTGATAAATGATTTAAAAATCATATGCTTTCAGCTTTGATGAAAATTACAGGATAAAAGTTATTTAAAATGAGAAAAATCAGTGTAGAAACCAATAGGAATGTAAACAATAAGTTTCTGATGGTTCTAGAATAACAGCTGCTGGGAGGAAAGATCTATGATGATGCTCTGTCATACACCCAGAATGCAGCAGTGTGTCTGGTGATAATCTGGATGATCCTGGGGTAAAGGTCATGAGGTCAGATGAAAACATCATAGAGTTTTATGGTATGAATGCTACTTGCCGTGTTTGAAGGGAAAGTAAGGATGAGAGTAATCCCTAGAGCAGCATGCCAACCACGAAGCATGGGAGTGGAAGCATCATGCTGAGGGATGCTTCCATGTAACCGGGGCAGAGGGACTGCACCAGGGTCCTGGAGGAGCCTGGGCCGTCTCCACACCTGAACCCAATAGAAAATCTCTGGAGGGACCTGAAGCTCCATGTTGCCTAGCAACAGACCCAAAACCTGAAAGATCTGAAATAGATCTCTGTATGCAGGAGTGGACCAAAACCCTGCAGTGTGCAAACCTGGTCAAGAACTACAGAGACAAACCTCTGGGATTGTAAAACAAAAGCTTCAGTCCTAAATATTAGGTCAAATTGGTTATTTCATGCAAAAAAATGCTGATCAATGATTTAAAAATCATATGCTTTCAGCTTTGATGAAAATTACAGACCTCTCCATTCTTTGTAGGAGGTGAAAGATTAAAAAAAAAAAATCCCCTTTTGAATTTGAGTTTAAAGAAAACTTCCAGGTAGCTTCAAACCGCATAAAAGTTTAACAAACAGAAACTTTTGTTTTTTCAGACACATCTATACACTAAAATAAATAAGGATCTTAAATCCTATAATTAATCAAACAAGTCTCTGCCTCATCCAACATAAATACAAATCAACATTCCACCAACACGATCTAAGGAGCAGGCTGCAGAACAGGTGGATTAGAAATGGGTGACGAACAAAGAAGCCAAACAATCCACTGGGCCATTGAAACATTCTGCAGCTCGGACTGTTAACACGCTCCAGGAAGGACGGAACAACATCCCACCATTCATCTCCTCTCATCTCACTAAATTCTCTTCACATACAAGCATCATATGCCACATGCCCTGCGATTTCTGCTAAACCATGTCAACAGACAGATCTGAGAGCAGCTCGCTGTGTTCAAACATAGATTTTTACACTGAGTCTGGTTTTAGATTGTGGATTTTTACTAGTTAAACAAAAGAGGATCAAATTTAACCCTGTTTTAAGCCCTGGGTTTTCAGGCTAAAGCAAGGAGGGAAAATGAGAAAAGAAGCAACATACTTTTTTTTTTTAAAAAACAAGAAAGAAACCGGTAACAGAAAAAGATGAATAAATGTAAACCTATAAATTATGGGTTTTTTTTGCTTTGGTTAACCATTTCTGCTGCATTTGTATTCATCATGGTCCCAGCCCCCATGAAGAACAGATATTACATATTATGCCGAGAAACGATAAAAAATAACAGCACTGTTTAGATTATAATCTTTTCAAAAAAAATCTACTAACACTTCTTCAATTTACTGAAATTCCAACAATTTTAGTAAATTTCCACATAATCAGGATGAACTGAAGACATCTTCATGGCAGAGTTCCTACAAATTTACCATGTAAAGACTCCAGACTCAGATTTCAATGTCTGCCCGATGTGTCAAAATAAAATAAAAAATTACTGACTGATTCAGCTTTAAATAAGTGATAGTAAACAAACAAACAAACTGCAAATTTACCGACTGAGATTTGGATGGAAGAACAGAAAGTATAAAGGACATGAGAGAGTGAAGAAGGACACAAGGAAGAAACAAATAAACCTTTAGATATCTAAATACACATTTTCACATTGTTTCCTTTTTCCATCCTTATCCATGCTAGAAATGTGATTGATTTTCAATTACATATTCCATTGTTAGACTTTTTTTTTGTGCATCGAACAAAAAATAAATCAATCTGTTTTTGTTGGGATTATGATGAGAATCGTCTGTTTGTTGCGGGTCATTCCAGCACAGAGGGGACACTGGAGCGCACCTGACCGATTCTCACACTTTCAGGTTCAAACTAAAACCCGTCGCTTATTTCCACCAACTCTCCTCCTGCTTGTTAAAAGGTTAAAAAGGTTTTGTACTCACCGCTGAAGTTCCAGTGAGGCTGCAAGCCTCCAACTTCACTGCTTTCATTCATCATGTTTCATGGCAAAGAGCGAAAGCCAAGTTTTCCACTCAGGCTCCTGCCGCCTGGAATCAGAACCGATGTTTGGACTTTTTTCTCCTTCCTGGAGCTTGATTTTGTATCAGTCCGAGTCTTTGTTAACGTTTAATTAGGATCGCAGTGATTTGAGCTCCATGCCAGCCAGGCGAACCGCTCCGCTCCGCTTCTCGCCGCGCCGCGCCGCGCTGCGCTCTCTGGAACAAGCAGCAGAGAGATAGAGAGACTTATGATGTCATTTTCTTCAGCCAATCCTTCATGACTCACTGTTTGGATATTACAACTCTCATTTATACAGATGCGTTCCTAAATCTTCCCGACATTCATCCACGAACTTCGGGGAATCATCCATCCATCCTCTCGGTTGTTCCGGATTGTTTTATCCAACATTTACAGCAAGCTACGACTAGAATGCAGTTTTCAAACAAATCCCAGCAGATTTTCATATTCTCTCACCCATCTGGCAATCAAAGTCAATCTCCTGGGAGGCAAACGCAAACGCAACCCTGAGATTGGGGAGGAAAGTTGGAGTGTGCTTTTGTCACTTTAAAAGAGAAGCAAACATTTTTAGATAAGAGGCGATTTTTAAAAACTGGGAGATTATGACGGTGTATTAAGGACAGTGTGAATAAGAACAGAAGGAGGAGAAATTTCCACCAAGAAACTCAGAAAATTTTGAGATTAATCTCAGAAATGTTGTAGAAAAGAAGGGGAAATTTCAAAGTTAAAACATGTCAAACATTTTTCCACTTTTTAAACTAAAAATGTAAATGTTTTTTTCTAGAAAATTTCTGAGCTTAATCTCAAAATTTCTGAGTATTTGTAACAAATGTTCGACTTCTTCAGCTCAGAAATTTCTCAGGATTTTCTACAAAATTTCTTAGATTTATCCAATTTCTTACTGAGGGCCTAATACAGCCAGAAATGTATGGATTTCATTCAGTTTGAGCCAACGTGCCTTCTTTTGTAAAGTAACCACATGAAGAAAAAAAATCTGCAATTTTTAACTTTTATTTTGCTTTATTCTCCCCACTGGACACAAAAAGCATATTTAAGTTTATCTAATTTTTGCATCTATCCATTTATTACAAATTATTCTTTTGTCTTGTCCCTTAATCTATCCTGTATTTTTTCTTATTGTTCTTCTCTTATAACATCTAAATATATTGATATTGTAGCTCAGGTGTTTTTTTTTTTGAGCTTTCAAGTTGCAAACCAGCTGTTTCCAAATGCAAAATTGTAACTTTAAAACCAATGGTAAAATTTTAGAAGTGCTTCTTTTCTGTCTTTTCTGTCAATTTCTGTTTTCTAAATGCCAAACGAAGTCAATTGAAAGTGAAAGAGGTCAGATATTCTTTTCCAGAGTAAACAGCATAGACATTAGAGAAACATGAGACCGATGCTCAGGAGCAGCATGCCATCAGGTCATCACATCATTCTGTTGTGTTCTATGGAAAAGAGCAACAACCCAGACAGAAGCTACAAGTGTTTATTAATCACTTCAAAGAAACTTAAAACTGAAGTGTTTCTGAAGGACCAACTCAGAAAAATCTAGCAGATCATAAAAATACATCAAGTACAGAGAATTTTCTGTTGAGACAAACAAAAGAGAAAAACAGAAACCTGAGCAGTCAGAGCTGGTGAACTGTGAGTCAGTCATGAGAAAACTAGTTGCAAAAATTAGATTTTATGAGCAAAAAGATCTATGAAACTTCTGTCTGTCAAAGTAAAAACTAAAAAAAAAAAATCTACAAAACTGATTTTTTAACTTGACCTCACATGATAGTAAGCAGGATTCTGTTGTGGAACTTTGGTTTCAGCTTTGTGTTAATTTTAATATGCTCCTTACACGTTTTAATTTTTAGACTAAGCTTATTCCAATTTTAGACCAAACAGTTTTCATTTATCAGAATGAAATCATAACGTTGAACAGCAGTTTATTTGACTCATCTCAAATAAGGTCTACTGTAAACTGATGCTGAGATCAGGTGACTGGATGTATTTCAGACAGAAGCCTTCACAGATTAATGGGAAGCAAGATTTTATTCCTTCAAAATTAATGCTGATTAGTATATCTTGCATATTTTCTCAATAACTGTACATCTTCAGTGACTTGCTCAGTTGTGGTGCTCCCCAAGGCTGACTCCAATGACTTCTCTTTGTTTGCCCTCTTCTGTATGGTCAGTGAATCCAAAATGATGGTGACATCACAGTTTCTCTGCAGACAATACTCTTACAACATGTCTTGTCAGTAAAAAGAAAAACCAACAAAAAAAAAACCCCAATTTGCTTCCAGTTTGCTCTTACACTGATCACTTACAGTAAGCATTTGTTCCTAGTAGGTTTAGAACACTGGAGCTCAACTAATTACTCTGTAAAGGCACAAAAACATTACCCCTGTGCTTGCCTGTCCGCGCTGGTTTCCTTTTAGGTTTCATATTGATTTTGCTTGGTTGAAAGCTTTAAATGGCCTTGCCCTGAATAAATCAGTCTCATTGACAAGGTGAGCTTCCTCTTGAACTTTGAGGGCCATAGACAGCACTCCTCTGAATATTCCCAAGGTACAATTTATGGCAATAGAAGATCAAACCATCTCCATTATAAATCTCCAATTCAGGGAAACCAACCCACTAAACACAGGCCAATTAAATCCTGACCTTAAGAGCTAAGCTTTGTTCTGCTTGTGAAAGTCTTACTACATTCTTCTTTCATCTACTTTTATTGTTCTGAATATAAACTTAGCATAAATCATCTCGTCTCTTTTTATGCAGCATATTGTAACAAATGTCCATTACAAGCTTCTTCAGTTTTGTTGTTACAGCCAATGAAAAAAAGCATTTCAGAAAAAGAACATACCATAAGTTAAACATGGTGGTTGGCAGTGTGATGAACCTGGACATTACAAAACCAGGCAAGTGTGATTAAAAAAAAAAATCAAAACAGAAGAAATCAATCGGGGTGCAATGTTGTTGTTTTTTTGTAATTTTGTTTGTGTCTCTGCTGGTTCTAGAAACAGTCCAAGTCCTAAAACAAAACATCTAACCGTTTGTGGCAATAAGTCTGTTTTTTGGTGTCTGAAAAATGAGCCACTTTAAAAATGTTCCTATTGCCTTACAAATTGTTTTGTTATGCTTTCCAGATTGATGGAGGTCAATGGTTTTGTTTCTAATCTGATCTTAAATTTCTTTAGATTGAGGCTTTGGATTTATGTCGGATAGAGTGACCTGGTTTTCAGACCTGGGTGTGTCTACTGGTGAAATTGAGCTAATTTTTCTATGATCATCCTCTTAATTTGCAACTTTTTAAAACTAAATAACATGATTTTAAAATATGCTTAATCAGTTGAAATAAATTTTAGTGTGATTAAACAAAAAGCAAAGACCCACAAATCTGCTCAGGTTTTCTCACAGCTCTGCTCATGTTGTCATTTTAATATAGAAAACTCATCTTCAGAGGAGCTGAGCTGTTGAATCAGAGGTGACAGGTGTACCACTCTGTTTGTGTGAAATTTCAGAGCATCTGCTATCACAGTCATTCTCTGTTCACACTCATAAACAATAAATCCCAGCAAGTCTTGTGAAAACGAGGTGACTTAACCATGGCAAAGGCTCCTATTGTAAAAATGAGTCGAATGCCAGAGAAAGGCATGAGTAATGTGAATGTGCAGAAATACTCAGGCACACACCCAGGCTCTTCTTCCCGCAGTAGGTTGTATAAGAGTATAATGGCTGAGCCAAAATCAGTCCACTTCAACCCATAATAGTTTGAGTAGAATTTCTTATGTAAGCTTGTTGGTACAAAACACACATACACATGCATTCCATTTTCTACCATTGACGTCCATTTAATGAACTCACAAAGGAATCCCATGTCTTCATATTGTGAAGTAGTTATCCTTCACCATTTATAGCAAACATTGTTCTTTTGGCAGCAAACAGACGCATATATCGAATCAGACATCATCTGATCTCCGATTTCTGTTCAAATGTTAAATTGAAATTTGTTAAAAATGAAAGTTGAAAGATTTTTTTCCCATACCAGATCTTTCCAGAAGATTCTACATGAATTTTCAACAATTCCACAGTATAGAGATACAAACATTTTAATTGATACATGAACTAACAGTAATCCATCTAGTACTAACTTGGTATGAGTGTACCTCAAGTACTGAATTTGATACAGTGAAATTGGAAAAGTGACAACTATGCAAAGTGAATTGAGATATTATTTAATCAGATTAGAGTCTTGCTCTATGCTGATAATACACATCTTTACATTTCTGTCTCACAAAATTTTTGTCCCTTACTCATTCAACTCCAGAATGGTATTCCTCCAGATTAATACTGAGAAGTAGACAGCGGTGGTTTTTAGTCTAAAAAATATTAAAGCTAGACATAAGGACAAAGTGACAAAGCTAAGAACTACAGAGTATCAGACACTAAGGAGAAGTTGTGGATGTAGACTTAAAATTGAACCACCACAAAAAATTCCAGCTATGTTCACCTTGTGAAGTGAAAATTATGTTATTTCTTTTAACAATTTTATTTCATTCTTTACTCATTTAACATCATTATTGTTCACTCTGTTAAAACATGTAGGTCAGTGAGTTTGCAGAATCAGGAAGACTTTCTTTTGACCTCTCCTTATAGAAGTTCCAGCAGGCTGTTAGTGACTAAATGTCTCACCACAAGTACCAAAGCAAGGCGCCAGTGTTTGTTAACAGATAACAACAGATAGTTTCGGTAAATGCAGTCAGATGGAATAAGCCCTAAGGTCTAACAAATTTCTCCATTGAATGTCACAAGCTCAGAGTAGGTACAAGGTCTGACAATGGTTTTGGTATGCAAAATTGGTCCATTAGCGTCCTGATTTTTAGAAACTCCCATATTTTGAACAAGAAGAAGTTTATCATCGAAACAATTAAGTGACTTTTCAGTAAGGAAGAGGTTGCATCCTGTCCACCCGGTGGCTACATGACTGTGCATAAAACCTGTTCAACTGGCTCTGGGCCAAGGAGTGACCACATTGTGTGGAGTCCTATATATTGTAAGAGTTTGCAGCTCCAAGTCAAAGATCATTGCATTGTGTAGAATTTGGTTCTCTGTATCTTCTAAGTTACAGTGGAATAAAATAACACTGACACAACAAAATTAGGTAATTCACCCTCTTACCCTTTTGATTCTTATTCCATTTGGAGTTATTAGATTGTGGTTTTGCATCATTAAGCCATTATGTTGGTACCCAGGCAAGAACATACAATATGTGGCAGTTCATTTTAAAGATCTGGTTAAGCAGTAAATCAAATTAGTACTATAAAGTTTGTTCAGAACCATCACATCCAATTAAGCCTAATGTCACTAATTTACATCAAACCAAAATTTGTACCAACTGCATGCATTTTTTGTAAATGAACAATATTAACATATTAGTACTTAATGCAACAAATACTTGGCAATAAAAACATATTATTTTTGCACTGGCCTCATGTCTGAAAAATAAGACTTTTTAAACATGTTATCTCTTCTACTGTAAGGTCGAAAGCCTAAATAAACCATTATTTACTTGTCCTATGTTGAAGTAACAGAGCTTTTTAATTCCATTTTCATCCTTTACTGTGTAAAGGATTAAATTTACCTCTTTTTTTGTGTTAGCACTTTGTTCTCATGTCTGAATGCTATTAACTGGCCTTCTCAGTAAAATTTTAAATAGAAGGAATTTTAATTAAAATATGGGAATGAGCAGCAAATATTTTATCACATATTCTAAAAACACTGATTGCATTAGTTATGTCTTTTTTAGTTGCAAAATATAAAGTGCCTTTTACAATGTTTCATGGGATTTAATAGTGTTTTACATTTATTGGAAGACATTTTTCAGTCTTTTGCAGCTTTGTTTGCTTTTTTCTCCCCTTTAATTTGAAGCAGCAGTAAGAGTGACTAAATCCTGGAAATCAGTCGTCTTGCAGTGTTGCCTTTGAATGCTTCAACGAACATCCTAATTAAATCCATTCCTTTTTGCTCCAATAGCTTTCATAGTTTTATTGAAGTGACATTTGTATTAAAAAAATATATAAAAAAACGAAAAAAAGTTTTGTTTCACTAAACTGTAACCTTTTGAAAAATGCTTGTAAGGTGTCCTATTCCGTTCTTTTGGTCCAATTACAGAACTAATCCAATTATAAAACTTCCAGAAACATTCAGCTATGAATTTATTTGATTAAGTTACAGGCAGAAACATTTATTAAACAGACTAAAGCTTTTCTGTAAGTAACAGGATTTCATCCAAAATATGACATGGCATCTTGCATAGGAATTAAATTTGTTTTGATGTCTCAACTCCCACTCAAATTAAACAGCAAGCATGACTGCAACATAATGTGTTCTGTCAGATGCATTTTCAGCCTTTTGAATGACAGACCATCAATGTGTCAGAGTTTCTTAAAGCACATTTGGACGTTTCCTTACAGATGCGACATTGTTTATATTTGGTTATTTTACTCACATCATTTCAGAATGAATGATGAAAAGAAAGAGAAAGAACAACATATTATATGGATGAAAATGCATCGCATACAGACTGCTCAAACAAACACAAGCATCTTCCTTCAATGCCTGACATTTAGTCAGACTAAGTTTTCCTGTTTTAAGGAAAGTCAGAATGATCAAAACTGATACTCTTTGCCAGAAAGATTCTTTTACTTTTTCAAATTCAGATACTTGGTAGAATTGACCTTTAAGTTGATTTGTGTAGGGCAAGCGTCTGACAATTGCTGAAATTCTCTCCCATTCCTCGTCATAGAACTGGGATGGCCATGTTGAGGCTTCTAGCCTTTATATACAAAGAGTCTGCTGATTTATGCTCAATTAATTCCTTCTTAAGTATACTGTGTGTAATTTAATTTTAACTACTCCCTGGATGTACAATTATGTCCATAAAAAATAAAAGAAATTGTAGAATGAACTAAACTAACACAGGGTAGATGTAATAAATTCACCCTGATTCACATTTTTATTGATTCTCATCTAAGTAAAATAATACAATGCATCTCTTTGCTTTTGTGAGATGATTGCTGGTTTGTAAAACAAACAGATATGACTGGAGTCAGCATTTGTAACTGTCCAATCAAAAAGTGATACAGTGTAAAATTCTGAAGAGCTTTTCCAAATAAACATATTGTGAGATTTGGTTTATAATCTGTAAAATGTCGCCTTTCTGTGACCCTCCAAGCGGTTCTCTTCATTAAATCCTCTCTGTCTTCTTTTTGAGAATTGCAAAAAACAATCCATACCGCTCAAACTTTTCCACACTTTCATGCATTTTATTGGGATATGATGTGAAAGATTAAAGTAGTGTATGATACAGCTGGGACACAGGATAGATAGAACAAAATAATCTGATCAGATCAGGCCCAAATGGAATCAAATTTTCCTACATGCAAACCACTGAAGGTAAAAATAACACTGCACAGCATTGCTGTCCCCAGTGTGATGCTGTGAGCATGTCTTTCATCAAGGACAGGACAACTCATTAACATCGATAGGAAAGTGGATGGAGCTAAACTCTGACCCTGGAAGAAAACCTATTAGAAACTGTTAAAAATGTTCAGAACTCCACAGTTTGTAGGTTTTATTTTGAATGGCTTTGGGCAGTATGTTTGACTACAGGTCTTGGTACCTCCAGAGCAAAGTTGGTGTACCCTGATTAGTTAACAAAGTTCCTTCTTCAGAGAGACTGAAATGATTACTGTGAACTCTGTGAGGAAACAAATTAATTATTATCTCCCACCGACAAGATCACAGCAATGGCTGCAGTCCGACAGATCTCAGATCCCTGCTGCGAGCGTCTCAGGCGTTAGACAAAATGAAATGTTGAGGTTAGAATCGGCGTTCTTTAAGGATTTGTCCCTGCACAGCCTGTACTAACGAGCCTCATATTTAACTAAAAGAAACTGTTCACTGTAAGATTGCACAGATGGGCTGTAGATATCTGATGGCAGCTTGAGGAATAAGTCATGTCACAGACATATTGTCTTGTAATGCTAAGAGAACAAGAACTAAGAACACAGTGACATATGTCACATTTGGACATGAACATGTAAAAATAATCTACATTTAAACCAATCTGTATCAAAACCAATTTGGATTTAAGCTTTACTACAAATAGTTACACCACAGACCTCTTTACACCATCGTCTCCAGAGGTTCCATTTCAGGTCCCAGAACCAGTATAGCATCACTGGCTGAATAATGGCCAATTGCAATGATGGTTCATAACATTTGTGTAATGAATATGCCTGCCGAACAATTTCATGTTGAACACAAATGGAATTTTAGAAAATAATATTTTTCATACTTTGCATAGCCTGGGGAAATATTTACTTCCTTTTGCAGCCAGCTACATTCATGTGAGGTTTGTTGTATTTTTCACCCCACTGGAACACATCAAGGTAAAAAAAAAGCTATGCATTCACAGTCCAACTATCAGTTTATTTGATATAAAATGTATTTATTTTTTATTATCATTTGCTAATGCTAATGTTACAACAGCTCCTTTTGGGTTGATTATTAATCTTACCTCCTTAGAATTTTATTCATATATCCTGCTACTAATTTATCTAATTTAATTTTTATTATTGTTGATTTTCTTTATCAATCACATATGGAACAAGTTTCCTGTATGATCTAAAGAGCGGATTGATACTGGTATTTTAGAAAATAATGTATTTTAATACTTTGCATAACCTGATGGCATGACCTTTTGCAGCAACAGTTACATTCATGAGAGACTTACTGTATTTTTCACCCAACTGGAACCTAGGGAGGGTTTAGATGATAATGGAGCGATTCTCCATTTTCGAAGTTTCAAAGTTGTCAACGGCAAAATGCTGAGCCAGAAATGTTGGTGTCCAGACTCCCTGTGAGAAACTTTATGAAAACCAACATATAAGTAGAGCAGGTCAGACATTGAGCAAGTATGCTTGCCGTTCTCATTTTTGCAAGAATTTAATCACCTCTCATCTCTGCTTGGTAACTAAGAGTGACGGTTCATTTGGGCATTTTTTTCCTCTTAATTTGAATAATTTGCATTATTAAACTATTACACTTTTACTTTTTCAAACTATTAATAGTGCAAACTATTACTAGTTTAATGCTACAAAGAAAAATAAAACAGAAGCATCAAACTACTTTTGTTCTTTCACATTAACAAATGCTCCCTGTAGAGTCACTTTAGGTTACACTAAACAAATTCAAACACATTGACCTAAATACCAACTCCTTGAAAAACTGTCTCTTCTCACATGAATAACAGCAAGCAGTTTTCGACATGGCAACCTGAGATGCATCTTTCACAATAAAACAATCTTGAACTTTCAAAGCGTTCTTCATTAATCACATGCACTATGTGCCCATTCACAGACATCATAAATATGAAAAACCAACATACCTACTGTCTGCTGTCATCCAGGTGCTTAAAATGAGTGATGTGTCGAAGCATCGAAGAGCGTGTCGAGTAATCCAGGAGGATTTTTTTTGAGCGCGTGCCAAGGCTTGTGTTGACTGTGCAGGTGGTGACGTTTGAAGCTTCGCACTCAGACCCGCGGGACTGATTCAGGAACTGGCTCGTCAGCTGCTTGTGAATTGAAATAAATTTGAGCAAAACCGCTGCTGTTTTCGTGTAACATTTTCTTGTTTTAGGATTTTATTACGAGTGAAGGTGCAGTTTATTTGAGTGCCTTTTTTGCAATAGACTACATATTTTGATGTATTTTAATAAAAAGGTTTACATACAGTAATAATAAATAATTCTTATAATGCAAAAAAAAAAAAAAATAAAAAAAATAAAAATAAAACGCAGCGTACATATAGATACATCAGGGACAAAGCCTCAACAGACAATGTGCTCAGTGAATGTCTCAGACAACAGGGAACAGAGGTTGAGGTGCCAGAGATACCATCATGGGAGGACAAGCCCCTACATGGGATGTACCACCAGCAAATAACCGAAGGGGCTGATATTAGTAAATCCTTTTTAAATCCTGGAAAAAGCTGGACTCAAAAAAAGTTGTAAACACCAGAGCAATAGAGGCCCAGATCTACCACACCAGAAAAGGTTGTGCCATTACAGTGTCGAGTAATGAACCTTTTTGCAAATCCAAGGGTTGGGAAGCTTCATTGTTTCATGAGGCTTCTTTTGCCCATCACTAGCAGTAGTCTTGTGCTGAAAACACCACTAATATTCAAAAGTGACCAAAATATCAACCATAGGCCATTGAGAAGTGGCCTCCACTTGCAGAAACACTCCTTTATCAAGTGTCTTGCTAATTGCTAACAATTTCCCCCTGTTGTCTATTCCACTAGCACAATAACTTGTGAAACTGAATGTCAATCAGTGTTGCTTTCAAAGTGGAAAGCTTGATTTTGTTATATTGTTATTTACATGTTCCCTTTAATTTTTTGAGCAGTATATATATCTTAAATGAAATTTTACTTCATAGCTTAATCCCTTGAAATTGGGCCTCCATCTCTTTACCAATGAATTCAGTAAACTTTATTTATAAAACACCAAGTCAGAACAAATGTAATTGTTAGGCCCTATAGAAGACGAGCAGGTCCAGTCCCATCCTTTTCTTCCCATTTCAAAACAAGAATGTTATTTCCATAAAGGTGAAGTCACAGCAATATATTTTCAAACTGTTCAGAATCTTTGATGCATCAAACAGAAACCAGTCTCTCTTGGAGGTAAATCAGCTTCTGTTGCATTCTCTAACAAAGAATGCAGTTGAAAGATTATTTACTTAAATTAATAAATTAGAGATTAACAACGAAGATTTGACCTGGGTTGGATTTGACTGTTTGAAACAAGTCTCATAGTCAAAGTAGTAGTCAAAGCAGTTTGACCATGTAAAGTCAAACTGCTAGTCACTAGTAGAAAAGGGTAATTTAAGTCCAGATAGTTTGTAATATTACATTAAGGTGGAACTAGTGGTAAGTATCCCAGCTTGTCACGTTGGAGACCGGGGTTCAATTCCCAAACGGGGAGGTTCTTCTTTTCAATTCCCAGAGGGGGAGGTTCTTCTTTTCAGCTATATTCTAAAGAAACTTGTGAGGACATTGAAAAGCTCCAAAAATGGTTGAGGCCTAATCACAACCAGTCCTCGTTAGTATAGTGGTAAGTATCCCAGCTGGTCATTTTGGAGACCGGGGTTCAATTCCCCGACGGGGAGGTTCTTTGTTCAGCTAGTTTTTAATACGTACTGAAACGAAGCTAACGTTTGTTTGTTTTTTGTAAAATTTCCCTACTGTGAAGCTCTTGTCTAAGCATTTAAGTAGTATTTCCAAAGAAGTGGTATTTCATAAATAATTACAGCATTCAGACATTTCAAAGTAGCGGGAGAATTCCTAGTTTTTTTTTTAACAATAGGCATTTGTTTACGAGCTGTTAATAGGAGACGAGCATGTTTTCTGGTAACGAATTGAAACGAAGTTTACGTTTCCTTTTCTTGTGAAATTTACGTACAGTGAAGCTCTTGTGTCTAAGAATTTAAGGAGTACTTCAAAAGCAATTATATTTTACAAATAAGAGAATTCAAACGTTTCAAAAAATCGGAAGAATTCCTAGATTTTTTCAACAATAGGTATTTGTTTGCGAGCTGTTGCTAGGAGACGAGCGTGTTTTCTGGTAACAAATTGAAACGAAGTTAACGTTTGGTTTTTTTGTAAAATTTACGTACTGTAAACCTCTTGTCTCTTAGCAGTTAAGTGGTATGTCAAAAGCACTTATATTTTATAAATAATTACAATGTTCAGACATTTTAAAATAGTAGGGAATTCCAATATGCTTTCAACAATAAGCATCATTTGTTGACGAGCTGTTGCTAAGGGACGAGCGTGTTTTTTGTAACGAATTGAAACAAAGTTAACGTTTTTTTTTCTGTAAAATTTACGTACTATGAAGCTCTTGTATTTAAGCATTTAAGGAGTACTTCAAAAGCACTTATATTTCATAATTAACTAGTGATGAGACATTTTAAAATAGCGTTAGAATTCCAATGTTCTTTCAACATTAAGCATTATTTGATGATGAGCTGTTGCTAAGGGATGAGTGTTATTTCTGGTAACGAATTGAAACGAAGTTAGCGTTTGTTTTTTTAGTAAAATTTGTGCACTGTGAAGCTCTTGTCTCTCAGCATTTAAGTAGTATTTCAAAGAACTTATGCTTAATAAATAATTAGTGTAGATACGTTTTAAAATATTTGAAGAATTCCTAGATTTTTTCAACAATAGGCATTTGTTTACGAGCTGTTGCTAGGAGACGAGCATGTTTTCTGGTAACGAAGTGAAACAAAGTCAACGTTCGTTTTGTTTTTTTTAATTTACCTACTGTAATCCTCTTGCCTCCCAGCACATAAGAAGTATTTCAAAATAACTTATGCTAAAAAAATAATTAGAGTGTTGACACGTTTTAAAATAGTTGAATTCCAATATTTTTTAAAAAATAAGCATTATGTGTTGACGAGCTGTTGCTAAGGGACGAGCGTGTTTTCTTATAACGAATTGAAACAACGTTAACGTTTGTTTTTTTTCTGTAAATTTTACGTACTATGAAGCTCTTGTATCTAAGCATTTAAGGAGTACTTCAAAAGCACTTATATTTCATAATTATCTAGTGATAAGACATTTTAAAATAGCGTAAGAATTCCAATGTTCTTTCAACATTAAGCATTATTTGTTGATGAGCTGTTGCTAAGGGATGAGTGTTATTTCTGGTAACGAATTGAAACCAAGTTAACGTTTCCTTTTCTGGTAAAACTTAGACTGTGAAGCTCTTGTCTCTTAGCATTCAAGTAGTATTTCAAAAGAGCTTATGCTTAATAAATAATTATGTAGATACGTTTTATAATAGTTGAAGAATTCCTAGATTTTTTCAAAAATAGGCATTTGTTTAGGAGCTGTTGCTAGGAGACGAGCATTTTTTCTGGTAACGAACTGAAACAAAGTTAACGTTCGTTTTGTTTTTTTTAATTTACCTACTTGTGTCTAGGAATTAAAGGAGTAATTCAAAAGCACTTATATTTCATAACAATTAATTAGTGTAGACACGTATTAAAATAGTTGAAGAATTCATTGAAAGGATCCAAAAATGGATGAGGCCAAAAGATAACGAGTTCTCGTTAGTATAGTGGTAAGTATCCCAGCTTGTCACGATGGAGACCGTGGTTCAATTCCCCGACAGGGAGGTTCTTTTTTTCAGCTCTCTTTTAAAGAAGCGTCCGAGGACATCGAAAAGCTCCAAAAATGGATGAGACCAAACCATAACCAGTCCTTGTTAGTATAGTGGTAAGTATCCCAGCTTGTCACGTTGGAGACCGGGGTTCAATTCCCCGACGGGGAGGTTCTTCTTTTCAATTCCCCGACGGGGAGGTTCTTTTTTTCAGCTATCTTTTAATGAAGCTTCCGAGGACATTGAAAAGCTCCTAAAAGGGATGAGGGCAAAAGATAACCAGTCCTTGTTAGTATAGTGGTAAGTATCCCAGCTTGTCACGTTGGAGACCGGGGTTCAATTCCCCGACGGGGAGGATCTTCTTTTCAATTCCCAGAGGGGGAGTTTCTTCTTTTCAGCTATATTCTAAAGAAACTTCTGATGACATTGAAAAGCTCCAAAAATGGTTGAGGCCTAATCACAACCAGTCCTCGTTATTATAGTGGTAAGTTTCCCAGCTTGTCACGTTGGAGACCTGGGTTCAATTCCCTGACGGGGAGGTTCTTCTTTTCAATTCCCCGACGGGGAGGTTCTTTTTTTCAGCTATCTTTTAATGAAGCTTCCGAGGACATCGAAAAGCTCCTAAAAGGGATGAGGGCAAAAGATAACCAGTCCTCGTTAGTATAGTGGTAAGTATCCCAGCTTGTCACGTTGGAGACCGGGGTTCAATTCCCCGACGGGGAGGTTCTTCTTTTCAATTCCCAGAGGGGGAGGTTCTTCTTTTCAGCTATATTCTAAAGAAACTTCTGAGGACATTGAAAAGCTCCAAAAATGGTTGAGGCCTAATCATAACCAGTCCTCGTTATTATAGTGGTAAGTATCCCAGCTTGTCACTTTGGAGACCGGGGTTCAATTTCAAATATCCTTTGTTCAAAGTCCTTTGTTCAGCTAGTTTTTAATACGTTCTGGTAACGAACTGAAACGAAGCTAACGTTTGTTTGTTTTTTGTAAAATTTCCCTACTGTAAAGCTCTTGTCTAAGCATTTAAGTAGTATTTTCAAAGAAGTGGTATTTCATAAATAATTACAGCATTCAGACATTTCAAAGTAGCGGGAGAATTCCTAGATTTTTTCAACAATAGGCATTTGTTTACGAGCTGTTGCTAGGAGACGAGCATGTTTTCTGGTAACAAATTGAAACAACGTTAACGTTTGTTTTTTTTTTGTAAAATTTACGTACTGTAAACCTCTTGTCTCTTAGCAGTTAAGTGGTATGTCAAAAGCACTTATATTTTATAAATAATT